GAATTTTATATTTTTATTTCATTTTTTTGTTTTAACGGCGTTGGAAGGTCTGTAAAATTTGTAGGTTACAATTATCGCCCGACAAAATACGACACTGACTGATTTAAATGACGTGAAATAGGTAAATAAACATTTTTCAACCACTTTTTCTCTAAACACAGACCTTTTTTACAAAATAGGCCAACATACAACGAGTAGGAATCTTCTTAATTACCTAAATTCAAAAGATGGTTTAAATTCATGCAGAAACGCGGTTGTAAAATGTAAAATTGGAAAGTGATGTAATGCTAAGAATATAACAGCTGAACCATTGTGCTCTCTGCATGCTTCTGCCCTCTTCTGGCAACTGGCAGTAATCCGCTTCCTGTTGTCTGTCATTACATTACTTTCCAATCATTTCCAATTTTACATTTTACAACCGCTTGACAACTGCGTTTCTGCATGAATTTAAACAATCTTTTGAATTTAGGTTATTAAGAAGATTCTTACCCATTGTATGTTGGCCTATTTTGTAAAAAGTGTCTGTGTTTAGAGAAAAAGTGGTTAAAAAATGTTTATTTACCTATTTCACGTCATTTAAATCAGTCAGTGCCGTATTTTGTCGGGCGACAATTGTAACCTTAAAATTTCACAGACCTTCGCTTTTATTTGGATATTTGAAAATAAAATTAATACTTAATGAATTAAAATGGTTTAAATCATTTTTGTCACTGATTAACTTAAAACACAATGTACCTAATTCATATAAAAAAAGTTGTGAAATTAACAAATCTCTAAATCAGATATGTGAATTTATGGCGTTTTCTGGTATAAAGTTTGACAGAATCAAACACAACTTATCACAGTAATTGTGACTATAATGTTTAATTTAGATACACTTATATTTCATTGGACTTCAAATTAATATTATTTTAAGTTTAGAGATTAATTTTTTTCCGTGTATTAAAGAGCCTATAACTCCGAAATTTGACTTTCTATGAAAAAATGTTGTAGAGAAAAGTTGTTTGTATTTTTCTAATCTAAAGTAATATAAATTTAAAAATAATAAAATTTAAAAAAATTGAATTTTCAAAATTTTGAAACTGCTGTAGTTTAAGTAGTTTTTGACGAAAATGGCTGGCTAACGAACTCGATCTGTATTTTAACACTAACTTTGTGCATGCAAAGTTGCAAGTTGATGCAATAAGTTTTTCAAGAGTTATCGTAGGGACACCATTGTGTCTGCAGACAGACACGAAGAGAGACAGACACTTTTTCTAGACCATGTTTTTCGGACTCAGGGGACCCCAAAACGTCGAGATTTCATGAAATTAGCAAAAGTCAATTTTCGACCAAAACTAATACACTCTCATGTGATGAGAATGTAATAAAAAATTAGTTTTTTGCAAATAAGTCGAAAAGTTTTAAGTTTAGTAAAAAGTTGTCAACAGCAAAACTGTAGCTGATGGTAAGGCGAGAAAAAAAGTCTGTGGTAGCAAGCTCCCATAGGCAATAGTTTTGAAGATAATTGAGTCGGAACATGGATTTTTTGTTTAAAAAAATGATAAAAAATATATATATACGGTGGTTTTTCCGAAAATTACTAGTTTTTGGGTAATGTGAGCATTTTTTAAGTACAATGGGGTGACAATATGTGGAAATTAATGTAATAATTGTTTTCTCTAAAAAAATTTTGATTTTTAGCGTCATTTTAGGATTATTGAGTATTTTTTTACTATTTAAGAGCCTATAACTCTGAAATTTGACTGTCTATGAAAAAATGTTGTAAAAAAAATTTGTTTGTATTTTTCTAATCTAAAGTAATATAAAGTTAATAATAATAAAATTTAAAAAAATTGAATTTTCAAAATTTTGAAACAACTGTAGTTTGAGTAGTTTTCGACGAAAATGGCTGGCTAACAAACTCGATCTGTATTTTAACACTAACTTTGTGAATGCAAAGTTGCAAGTTGATGCAATAAGTTTTTCAAGAGTTATCGTAGGGACACCATTGTGTCTAAAGACAGACACGAAGACAGACATACAGACAGACACTTTTTCTAGACCATGTTTTTCGGACTTAGGGGACCCCAAAACTTCGAGATTTCATGAAATTAGCGAAAGTCAATTTTCGACCAAAACTAATACTTTCTAATGTGATGAGAATCTAATAAAAAATTAGTTTTTTGTAAATAAGTCGAAAAGTTTTAAGTTTAGTAAAAAGTTGTCAACAGCAAAACTGTAGCTGATGGTAAGGCGAGAAAAAATTCTGTGGTAGCAAGCTCCCATAGGCAATAGTTTTGAAGATAATTGAGTCGGAATATGGATTTTTTGTTAAAAAAATGATAAAAAAAATCGGACAAGTGCGAGTTTCACTCGCATTAAGATCGAGGGTTCCGTACACCAAAATAAAACTCATTGTTTATAAAAAAATTATTTCAAAAATGCTTACCAAATTTTAAAAAAATAATTAAAAAAATAGTAATATATTTTTTTAAATTTCGACTAAATATTTTTATTATTTTATTTTATTAATAATTCTTTATATTTTTTCTTTTATAGTACTTATCTTCGCCAATCACATTCTCTTTATTTTTTCTATAATTTGCACTTGATAAAGAATATACAAGCTGAATCTTAACTCACCAGGTTTAAATTTATAAAAGTTAAAGTAGGGACAGTGTAATTTTTTCGAAAAATTCAAATTCTTGCCCTTCAATTTCGCAAATAACTCCGCCAATCAGGTTCGCTATATTTTTCCTGTAATCTTTACTTAAAACTGAAGATCCCTACCGAATTTCAACTCACCAGATTGAGATTTGTAAAAGTTAAAGGTGTGGGACAGGGTCATTTTTTGCAATTTTTTCGAAAAAATTGATTTTCTTTCCCTCCTACTTCGCAAATATGTCCGTCAATCGGGTTCGCTATATTTTTCCTGTAATTAGCAGTTGAAACTGAAGATCCCTACCGAATTTCAGCTCATAATGTTGAGATTTGCAAAAGTTAAGGGGGGGACAGGGCCATTTTTAGCATTTTTTTTCGAAAAAATTGAATTTCTTTCCCTCCTAGTTCGCAAATATGTCCGTCAATCGAGTTCGCTATATTTTTCCTGTAATCTGCACTTAAAACTGAAGATCCCTTCCGAATTTCAACTTACCAGGTTGAGATTTGTAAAAGTTAAGGGGGGGACAGGGTCATTTTTTGCAATTTTTTCAAAAAAATTCAATTTCTTTCCGTCATAGTTCCCAAATATCTTCACCAATCAGGTTCGTTATATTTTTCCTGTAATCTGCACTTAATACTGAAGATCTCTACCGAATTTCAGCTCATCAAGTTAAGATTTGTAAAAAATAAGGGGGGGACAGGGTAATTTTTTAAATTTTTTCGTAAAAATTGATTTTCTTTACCTCCTACTTCGCAAATATGTCCGTCAATCCGGTTCGCTATATTTTTCCTGTAATCTGCACTTGAAACTGAAGATCCCTACCGAATTTCAGCTCACTAGGTTGAGATTTGTAAAAGTTAAGGGGGAGACAGGGTCATTTTTAGCATTTTTTTCGAAAAAATTGAATTTCTTTCCCTCCTAGTTCGCAAATATGTTTGTCAATCGGGTTCGCTATATTTTTCCTGTAATCTGCACTTAAAACTGAAGATCCCTGCCGAATTTCAACTAACCAGGTTGAGATTTGTAAAAGTTAAGGGGGGGACAGACAGATTTTGCGTGGCTGGGACGGACACACGAGTGATTTCATAAGGGTTCCGTCAGTACACCTATGGTGTACGGAACCCTAAAAAAATATATATATAAGGTGGTTTTTCCGGAAATTACTAGTTTTTGGTCAATGTAAGCATTTTTGGAGTACAATGGGGTGAGAATATGTGGAAATTAATGTAATAATTTTTTTCTCTATGAAAATTTTGATTTTTAGCGTTATTTTAGGATTATTGAGTATTTTTTTACTATTTAAGTGCCTATAACTCTGAAATTGGACTGTTTATGTAAAAATGTTGTAAAGAAAAGTTGTTTGTATTTTTCTAATTTAAAGTAATATAAAGTTAAAATAATAAAAATTTAAAAAATTAAATTTTCAAAATTTTGAAACTATTGTAGTTTGAGTAGTTTTTGACGAAAATGGCTGGCTAACGAACTCGATCTGTATTTTAACACTAACTTTGTGCATGCAAAGTTGCAAGTCGATGCAATAAGTTTTTCAAGAGTTATCGTAGGGACACCATTGTGTCTACAGACAGACACGAAGACAGACATACAGACACTTTTTCTAGACCATGTTTTTCGGCCTCAAGGAACCCCAAAACGTCGAGATTTTATGAAATTAGCGAAAGTCAATTTTCGACCAAAACTAATACTTTATTATATGATGAGAATGTAAAAATATGATTTAATGCAGGTTCCCAAACTATGCATATAACTTTTTGAAACAATTTAAAAATTAGGAAACACTTTTTAGCCTAATTGCTATCTATAACATTTCTTACTATATTTATTGGTAAGTTGATAGGAGGGATTAATTGTTTTACAAAGATATTTTTAGCTTTAGAAACTTGATTTGATACAGGTCCCCAAACTATGTTTATAAATTATAGATAATATTTATATATTTGCAAATACTTTTTAGCTAAATTGCAATCTATAACATTTTTTAATTTATTTATTAGCTTGTTGATATCAAGGATCAAATGTTTATCTAAGATATTTATAGTTTAAAAATTAAGATTTGATGCAGGTCCTCAAACTATGCATCTTACTTTTTTACTACAATTTTAACATTAGCAAATGCTTTTTAGCTAAATTGCAATCTATATTATTATTATTAAGAAGAGGGTTGTGGACTTAGGACCTTGCAGGTCAACGCCACTAACGCTTGGGTAATCCCTTTACGTTCCCCATAACCACCCCTATATCCGAAATCCTTTCCACAACAGGAGAACTTCGGCCAGGTTTCTGGTAGCAATAGCGGTCTCCCCCAGAAAAAAGTAGCCCGTAATGTGTTCCCGCTCCTTCACAAATGCAGGGCAGTGACACAAGATGTGTATCGGGGTTTTATATTCCTCTCCACACCCTTGGCTTGTCTATAGCCCTTAGTTACCTGCCATTCCCTTTGGTGTCTTGCAGCTATCCACTGTTTAATTTTCAGTGTCAGGCATTTGTTGGAAACACCAATGGGAGTTTCAGGTCCAATAAGTTGTTTTCTAGCCCCTTCTTTGGCTAGCTCATCCGCCCTATCGTTTCCCGCGAATCCACTGTGACCAGGAATCCACAAGAGGGTAACGCGGTTCGTTTCAGCTAGTTTGTTAAGTGCTTCATGACAATCACCGACCAGCCGTGATGTTGATACGTATCGTTTCAAGGAGAAAATGGCCGCCTTGGTATCCGAAAAGAAAAAAATATCTTTGTTGTGACAATTTTTCAAGGCTTCAACAGCACCATAAAATATTGCCACAATTTCGGCTTGGAACACAGTAACAGTGGTCCCCAACTTAAAGGAGTGTCCCACTTGGGAGGTTACATGATAGATTCCTGCACCAACTCTATTCCCGCCTTTTGATCCATCTGTGTACCAGACTTCACAGTCAGCTGGAATACTTGTCAGTCCATTTATCCAATCTTCTCTACTAGGTATATTAATCCTATACTTTTTGTCGAAGAGGTACAAAGGGACAGTTCTGTCCCTAATCATACTTAGAAGGGGGATTCTCACCAATTTCTTTGGGAGACGACATCTGCCCACTTCCCTGCGGCCCACAGGACCACTCAACCGCAGGGCAGCCTTAACCGCCGCTGCTTTAATTGTAAGGTGTAAGGGTTCTAGCCCCAAGAGGGCACCTAGGGCAGCAGTAGGAGTTGTACGCACTGCCCCCGTTATGCCTCTAAGTACCATCCCCCTTACCCTTTCCAATTCTGTTTGTGCTGTTTTTAGCTCAACTCTACTCCACCAGACCACACAAGCAAAGGTCAGCCTAGGGATCAGAATTGCTTCATAGATCCACCCACAATAGTGTATCCGGTTTGAGACCCCATGCAATCTATAACATTTCTTACTTTATTTATTAGTTAGTAGAAAAGAGGGATTAAATGTTTTAAAAAATATTTTTAGCTTAAAAACTCTGATTTCATGCAGGTCCCCAAACTATGCAAATAATTTTTAGCTCAAATGCAATGTATAATATTTCTTAGTTTATTTATTAGCTTGTTGGTGACAGGGATTAAATGTTTATCTAATATATTTATAGCTAAAAAACTCTGATTTGATGCAGGTCCCCAAACTATGCATCTGAGTTTTTTAAAACATTTTAAACATTAGCAAATAATTTTTAGCTAAATTGCAATCTAAAACATTTCTTATGTTATTTATTAGTTAGTTGATAAGCAGGTTTAAATGTTTTAGAAAGATATTTTTAGCTTTAATAATATGATTTGATACAGGTCCCCAAATTATGCATCTGACTTTTTTTCTACAATTTAAACATTAGCAAATACTTTTTAGTTAAATTGCAATCTATAACTTTTCTTACTTTATTTATTAGATAGTTGAAAGGAATGATTAGAAGTTTTACAAAGATATTTTTAGCTTAAAAACTTTGATTTGAGGAATGTCTCCAAACTATGCATCTAACTTTTTTAATACAATTAAAAAGTTAGCAAATAATTTTTAGCTTAATTGCAATCTATAACATTTCTTACTTTATTTATTAGCTTGTTGGTGACAGAGATTAAATGTTTATTTTTATAGCTTAAAAACTCTGATTTGATGCAGGTCCCTAAACTATGCATCTAAGTTTTTTAAAACAATTTAAACATTAGCAAATAATTTTTAGCTAAATTGCAATCTAAAACATTTCTTACGTTATTTATTAGTTTGTTGATAAGAAGGTTTAAATGTTTTATAAAGATATTTTTAGCTTAAAAATTATAATTTGATGCACGTTCCCAAACTATGCATCTAACTTTTTTAATACAAATTTAAACATTAGCAATTACTTTTTAGCATAATTGCAATCAATAACATTTCTTACTTTAATTATCAATCTTTCTTACTTTATTTATTACTTAGTAGAAAAAAGGGAATAAATGTTTTAAAAAAATATTTTTGTTTAAAAAAAATATGATTTATTGCAGGTTACCAAACCACGCATCTAACTTTTTAAATACATTTTAAACGTTAGCAAATAATTTTAAGCTCAATTGCAATCTACAACATTTCTTACTTTTTTTTATTAGTTAGCAGAAAAAAGGGATTAAATGTTTTAGAAAAATATTTTTAGCTTAAAAAATATGATTTAATGCAGGTTCCCAAACTATGCATCTAACTTTTTCAATACAATTTAAAGATTAGGAAACACTTTTTAGCAAAATTGCAATCTATAACATTTCACACTATATTTATTAGTTAGTTGACGACAGGGTTTAAATGTTTTAAAAAGACGTTTCTAGCTTAATAACTTTGATTTAAGGAAGGTCCCCAAACTATGCATCTAACTTTTTTAATACAATTGAAAGGTTAGCAAATAATTTTTAGCTCAATTACATTCTATAATATTTCTTACTTTATTTATTAGTTAGTTGATAAGAGGGATTAATTGTTCTAGAAAGATATTTTTAGCTTAAAAAAAATATGATTTAATGCTGGTCCCCATACTGTGCATCTAACTTTTTGAATACAATTTAAACATTAGCAAATACTTTTTAGGTAAATTGCATTCTATAATATTTCTTACTTTATTTATTAGTTAGTAGAAAAGAAGGATTAAATGTTTTAGAAATATATTTTTAGCTTAAAAACTCTGATTTGAGGCAGGTCCCCAAACTATGCATGTAAGTTTTTTAAAACAATTTAAACATTAGCAAATAATTTTTAGCTCAATTGCAATCTATAACATTTCTTACTTTATTTATTAGCTTGTTGGTGACTGGGATTACATGTTTATCTAAGATACATATAGCTTAAAAATTCTGATTTGATGCAGGTCCCCAAACTTTGCATCTACGTTTTTTAAAACAATTTAAACAATAGCAAATAATTTTTAGCTAAATTGAAATCTAAAACATTTCTTACGTTATTTATTAGTTAGTTAATAAGAAGGTTTAAATGTTTTAAAAAGATATTTTTAGCTTCGATAATATCATTTGATACAGGTCCCCAAATTATGCATCTAACTTTTTTAATAGAATTTAAACATTAGCAAATACTTTTTAGCTAAATTGCAATTTATAACATTTTTTACTTTATTTATTAATTAGTTAAAAAAAGAGGGTTTATATGTTTAACAAATATATATTTAGCTTAAAAAAAATATGATTTAATGCAGGTTTCTAAACTATGCATCTAACTTTTTTATTACAATTTAAAGATTAGGAAACACTTTTTAGCCAAATTGCTATCTATAACATTTCTTATTATATTTATTGGTTAGTTAATAGAAGGGATTAATTATTTTACAAAGATATTTTTAGCTTTAGAAACCTGATTTGATGCAGGTCCCCAAACTATGTTTATAAATTATAGATAATATTTATATATTTGCAAATACTTTTTAGCTAAATTGCAATCTATAACATTTCTTACTTTATTTATTAGCTCATTGATAACAGGAATTAAATGTTTATCTAAGATATTTATAGCTTAAAAATTAAGATTTGATGCAGGTCCTCAAACTATGCATTTAACTTTCTTACTACAATTTAAACATTAGCAAATGCTTTTTAGCTAAATTGCAATCTATAACATTTCTTACTTTATTTATTAGTTAGTAAAAAAGTGGGATTAAATGTTTTAGAAAAATATTTTTAGCTTAAAAACTCTGATTTGAGGCAGGTCCCCAAACTATGCATGTAAGTTTTTTAAGACAATTTAAACATTAGCAAATAATTTTTAGCTCAATTGCAATCTATAACATTTCTTACTTTATTTATTAGCTTGTTGGTGACAGGGATTACATGTTTATCTAAGATACATATAGCTTAAAAATTCTGATTTGATGCAGGTCCCCAAACTATGTTTATAAATTATAGATAATATTTATATATTTGCAAATACTTTTTAGCTAAATTGCAATCTATAACATTTCTTACTTTATTTATTAGCTCGTTGATAACAGGGATTAAATGTTTATCTAAGATATTTATAGCTTAAAAATTAAGATTTGATGCAGGTCCTCAAACTATGCATTTAACTTTTTTACTACAATTTAAACATTAGCAAATGCTTTTTAGCTAAATTGCAATCTATAACATTTCTTACTTTATTTATTAGTTAGTAAAAAAGTGGGATTAAATGTTTTAGAAAAATATTTTTAGCTTAAAAACTCTGATTTGAGGCAGGTCCCCAAACTATGCATGTAAGTTTTTTAAAACAATTTAAACATTAGCAAATAATTTTTAGCTCAATTGCAATCTATAACATTTCTTACTTTATTTATTAGCTTGTTGGTGACTGGGATTACATGTTTATCTAAGATACATATAGCTTAAAAATTCTGATTTGATGCAGGTCCCCAAACTTTGCATCTACGTTTTTTAAAACAATTTAAACAATAGCAAATAATTTTTAGCTAAATTGAAATCTAAAACATTTCTTACGTTATTTATTAGTTAGTTGATAAGAAGGTTTAAATGTTTTAAAAAGATATTTTTAGCTTCGATAATATCATTTGATACAGGTCCCCAAATTATGCATCTGACTTTTTTTCTACAATTTAAACATTAGCAAATACTTTTTAGTTAAATTGCAATCTATAACATTTCTTACTTTATTTATTAGTTAGTTATAAGGAAGGATTAGAAGTTTTACAAAAATATTTCTAGCTTAAAAACTTTGATTTGAGAAAGGTCCCCACACTATGCATCTAACTTTTTTAATACAATTTAAAAGTTAGCAAATAATTTTTAGCTCAATTGCAATCTATAAGATTTCTTACTTTATTTATTAGTTAGTTGATGACAGGTTTTAAATGTTATCTTAGGTATTTTTAGCTTAAAAACTCTGGAAATTTGTTAAATTGGTTAAAAAAAGCTGGAAATTGGTTAAATGGGATAAATGGCAAAATTAGAAATTGGTTATATTGAAAAAAAGGCAAAATTAGAAATTGGTTATATTGGATAAAAGGAAAAATTGGAAATTGGTTCTATTGGATAAAAACAATATTAGAAATTGGTTATATTGTATAAAAGTCAAAATTTGGAAATTGGCTCTATTGGATAAAAACAATACTGGAAATTGGTTAAATTGGATAAAAACAATGCTAGAAATTGGTTAAATTGGATAAAAGGCAAAATTAGAAATCGGTTATATTGGATAAAAACAAAGCTGGAAATTGGTTAAATTGGTTAAAAGGCAAAATTGGAAATTTGTTCTATTGGATAAAAACAAAGCTGGAAATTGTTTAAATTGGATAAAAAAGCTGGAAATTGGTTAAATTGGTTATAAGGCAAAATTAGAAATTGGTTATATTGGATAAAATGCAAAATTAGAAATTGGTTATATTGGATAAAAGGCAAAATTGGAAATTGGTTCTATTGGATAAAAAGAAAGCTGGAAATTTTTTAAATTGAATAAAAACAAAGCTGGAAATTGTTTAAATTGGATAAAAAAGCTGGAAATTGGTTATATTGGATAAAAGGCAAAATTAGAAATTGGTTATATTGGATAAAAGGAAAAATTGGAAATTGGTTCTATTGGATAAAAACAAAGCTGGAAATTGGTTAAGTTGGATATAAAGAAAAATTGTAAATTATTTATATTGGATAAAAACAAACCTGCAAGTTGGTTAAATTGGAGAAAAGGAAAAATTGTAAATTGGTTAAATACTTTTTAGTGGATCTTATAAATCTGGTCATTGGATTTGTACTTATTATGATGGAATAAGCCTTTACATTTTTGAT